AATGGCCTGCCGGATGAGATCCGTCTCATTTCCACTCTTGATTGCTTTGAAAAAGCAGTAAAGAAGGATCTTTTCCGGCAGGCCTTCCCTGAATAATGCCCGGCCTAGAAGACACAGACTAAGACTCTGGCTATTCATATTCTCAATCCACCATTATTTAGTTGAGCTGCTATTTGAAAAACTGTTTGTTTTTATTATTTGGTATTTTAATTCTGATCTAGTTTAATATAGTTTTAAGGGGTGGTTGGGTCAGGGAATTGGTCGCTGGATTTTGGTTTAACTTATGTGCTGTTTTATCGTGTTGTACCCTGCCCCAATTGCACTGCAGAGGGGCGGGATAAAAATAAAAAAACTATTATTATTATTATTATTATTATTATTATTATTATTATTATTATTATTAATCTCTCAGGAGTGCTTTAGTTGTATATTCTGCCATGTCAGGTAGTTGAACTAGTGGACCTTTGTGGTCCCTTCCGGCTCTGAGATTTTATGAAGTCCTATAGTTTGCCCTGGCTAGAATCATTGAATCAATTAGATTTATCTACATTTTGATTCAACATTAAACAGTTGAGTGAATGGGTATAAAAACAACTGACATCCCTGAAATCTTCTTTGCCCTTCTGTACTTCGCCCTCTCCCAAATATTTTGATAGTTACAGTGAGCCCACTGGGGTTTGGTTCCAGGACCTATCATGGATACCAAAAATCTGTGAATGCTCAAGACCCACAAAATACAATGGCATACTAAAATGGTATTCCTGATATAAAATGGCAAAGTCAAAGTTTGCTGTTTGGAATTTTTGTTTTATTTTATTTTGTTTAAATATTTTCAAGCCATGGATGGTTGAATCCATGGATATGGAGGGCCAACTGTACTTTGCAATCTTTGCTCTTATTTATCCAGACAGCCCCATGGCATCTAGTCTGAGTAGTCGCAATTTACCTGCTACTTGAGCTCATTTATCTGTACATGCCAGGAACTGAACCTGGGATCTTCAGTATTCAAAGCATTGCTCAACCACTAAGCTACAACCCCTTTCCATTTTAAACTTCTGTGGTTACTACAATTCAAAGATATAGCCATGTTAGTCTGTAGAATCAATATGTAGTGAGATCTTGTAGCACCTTTGAGACTAACTGAAATAAAAAATTTGGCAGCATGAGCTTTCATAGATGTAGTTTTCCTCAGATGCAGTTTGCTCCAGCTAACCACAGTTATGGGTTTCCAGATGAACTGCACTTTTCTCATAAGTGATTGTGAATGTTTGTGGATGTTCTGTGATACCAGCCTTGGAGCCTTTCACGAAAACAGGACTGAGACAGAACTTGCAGAAATAGGGCCAAGAAAAGGCAACTTGTATCCTCTGCCTCTATTCATCTATTAATCTAAAGGTCTCTGCCATCTTAGCTGCTTTCTCTAAAATCTGGAAGATCTGAATGTGAAAGATAAAGTGTGGGTTAGTAAATATGTGTAACAAAGAAATCAGTCTGACATAGGGTTTTTTGTTTGTCTGTTTCCTTTTTTCTATTGGTTTTTCCTAATACTATGAAACTTGTCATGTAATTGATTTTTTAAGGGAGATAAACTCACGTATGAATGAAGCTTTAAAAACTCCCCCTTTTAGCTCTGTTTTTGCCTATTCTCTTTTTTTAAAAAAAATCCAAGTGCATTAGCAGCTCCATTGTTTGCAAAGTCATTTGCCTCTAATCCACAAAGTAATTTTGTTACTTGACAGTTTTAAAGGAGCTGCTGACTAAACCTTTAAAGCAGAGGTCAGCAACCTATGGCCCAGGGGCCGGATCCGGCCCCCCCCAGGCCTTTGGACTGGCCCCAGCCCGGTCCTGACACTGCCGCACCACGGCACCACCACCTCCACCACACATGCCTCTGCCGCGCAAATCGCGGCCGCCATTTTGTTTTCCAAAATGGTGGCGCGACTCATTTGCGCATACACCGGAGTACTGCACATGTGTGAACAAGTTGCGGCCGCCATTTTGGAAAACAAAATGGCGCCTGCAACTCATTTGCGCATACGCAGTACTCTGGCACATGCACAAATGAGTCACGGCACCATTTTGGAAAACAAAATGGCGCCATGACTCACTTGAGCATGCGCAGTATGCCAGAAGTACTGCGCATGCGCAAGCGAGCATGCACGCCCATGCACAGTACTTCCGGTGTAGTGCGCATGCAGGAGAGAGCGTGCGCGCACGGCGCCATTCCCCCCACCCCTTGGCGCGTGGAAGACCTCGGGACCAGCAGACTGGCCCCAGGTAGGAAAAAATTGCCTACCCCTGCTTTAAAGTGATAACAGGGATAGTACTGTGTCAAGAGTGTGGGCTGGATTCCTAGATATCCAAAAACAGCATTTCCATGGAAAGATGAATAGCTATTCTTTGGGATTTCTATCCTTTTTCCCCCCCTTTATAGATTCATAGAATCATAGAGTTGGAAGAGACCACAAGGGATATCCAGTCCAA